GTACATATCGGAGTCAAGCATGTTCGCAGCCGTGAACGCTAGATGGCGCCACGATGATCGTTTTGGGCAAACACTTACGCTTTTGACAAAAAATTTAGTTTTTCTTCAATAACTCCCGAACGGATGGACGTAGGGAGACGTTTGTGGTCTCATTTTGTAGGGGACGACGAGATCTACAATCTCTATATCAAAGTTTCTCGCTAGCTTTAATAGTTTACGAGTAATTTGCAAAAAACTGTTTTTCGTTTTTCGTCTATAACTCGTTAACTATTGATGTAAGCGAAAAAGTGTTAGATAGAGATTGTAGATCTCGCCGTCCTCTACAAGAAAGGTCGTATGCATTTTTCCCGTACGATCAACGGTGTAGGAGTTATTGAGGAAAAACGAAATTTCTTGTCAAAAGCGAAAGTGGTTGGCTTCAATATTGCTGCACCAGAGAGAAAAGCGGGTTCGCAGTCGTGAGCGCTAGATGGCGCCACAAGTAACTCCAAATTCATTGTAGCCAAGCACTTTCGCGGCGATGATCGCTAGATGGCGCCACAACATCCGCCACACCAAAATCATTTTAACCTACGTTTTAAAATGTTAATTAACCTAATAATTGATTAAATAATAAGTAAATGATACAATGAACGAATAACGTTTATTATTTTTATAATTTACACCGTTCCTGTATTTTCACATTCCCTTTACATTCAATTTCAAAATAAAATTACATCAGTAACTATTTATCCAGACGTAGGTTAAAATTGTTTTTATTTTGACGTGTCAAACAGTATCGACCACAATTCTATAAATGCCTGATCGAGCATTGAAATGATGAGGTGTAAACTTATTAACACTCGTTTTGAATTTTGTCTCCTAGGGGAAACTAACACATACACGTAGCTGGCTCAGTTTCGTTGTTACTAGCTGTACGTATACACTTTTGCGACTTTCGCCGACGTGCATCGAGCAACATCTGATCGAGCCGATCAAACCGGTATTCATTTGTCTCTTCGTTTGTTTTGTCAGATGTTACTTTGATGCGGAACAGCCGGTCAAAATGACACGCGTCACTTTCCTACACCCGGATCTCGGCATCGGAGGAGCAGAGAGATTAGTCGTGGATGCTGCGTTAGCTTTGAAGGAAAACGGGTACGAGGTTAATTTCGTGACAACTCATCACGATCCGGAACATTGTTTCGCCGAAACAAAAGACGGGACGATCCCCGTCACGGTCGTGGGAGACTGGCTGCCCAGACAGATTCTCGGTAGATTCTTCGCGGTCTTCGCTTACGTTCGTATGGTAAGCCGATCGACTCGGTCCTCTCACATAAAACTCCACGGAACTGTTTTTCTTTTTCCTAGATCTATGCAGCTGCTTACATCGTTCTATGCCAACAGCGGCCAGACATCGTGTTCTGTGATTTAGTCTCCGTGTGCATACCGATCCTCCGACTGAGGATTCCGTACGTTATTTTTTATTGCCATCACCCGGACCAGTTGCTCTCTCGACCTGAAGGCATTACCAAACGGTTGTACCGGGTGCCTATCGATTATTTCGAAGAGGTGACGACCGGGATGGCACATAAAGTACTTGTAAATAGCATGTATACACTCTCTGTGTTTAAAGAGACCTTCAAGAGACTCAGTATAGAACCGGAAATCTTGTATCCGTCTATCAACACGAACTTCTTCGATAAAACTCGAGTAATGTCGTTGGAAAGAGTTCTGGACAGGAAGCTACCACCAGGTAGTGTCGCGTTGCTGTCGATCAATAGATACGAGCGTAAAAAGAATCTGGGATTAGCGATAGAAGCGTTGGCCGAGCTCAAGAAGTATTTGCCAGAGGAGGAGTACAAGAAAGTGTATTTAATCATGGCCGGTGGATACGACAAGAGAGTAGAGGAGAACGTGGAATACTATTTAGAATTGATAGGGCTTGCCGATGAGTTGCACGTTACAGATAATGTAATATTCCTTCGTTCTCCTTCGGATATCGACAAGGTATCGATTTTGCATCATTGTAAAATCGTTTTGTATACGCCGCAAAACGAGCACTTCGGTATCGTGCCTCTCGAGGCGATGTACATGTGCAAGCCAGTGATCGCGCACAATTCCGGCGGCCCGACGGAATCTATAATATCCGAGGTCACCGGATTCCTGGTCGACTCCACTGGCGACGCGTTTGCCGAGAAAATAGCTTATCTGATTAAAAATCCGAACGTCATGCAGGAATTCGGTAACGCGGGGAAAAACAGATTTATGAAGATCTTTAGTTTCGCCGCGTTCAGTGCTCAATTAAACGTTACGATCGAAGACTTAATTAGCGATAAGAAATTGAAATGATTTATCATTCAGGGTTTGTTATATATTCTATAAGAAAGACTTTTAAGTTATATCTTTATGGTACTGCCTTGATATCGCAGACTCGGGGTGTGCGTCAAACACTTGTTTATTATATACAAATGGTAATTACAAATCCGCCTTCTTACATAAATCATATCTATTTATTATTTGTATTTATTGTGCATTTATATTACATGCGGACGAGACTGTGGGACCATTAAACGTCATTAAAAAATTATTAAATTATTTTACACCTTATGTATAATATAGATCATAGTAAGACAAAATGTTTGTTTGTCTGTTGAATCTTATTTATTGATTAAAATTGTTAAGTCAGTCCATCAACTGCAAATTGTCAAGTTTCTCACTGGAGTAAAAACCGGCCTTGACTTGTCTTCCACCGAAAAATCGTCCGTTCAAATCGACCACCGCTTTTATAGCACTTTCTATTCTCTTAAACTCGACGAAGATCCGGACCGCTTCTTCCGGCGCGACTTCCGTCACCTCGTGAATAATAACACGCGCCACGTCGCCATATTTCGTGTTACACTCGTCTTTCACCTCAGGCTCGAGATCGTCGTCGACTTCGCCAGGACCAACCATGTTACGCAATAATACGACCTAGTCAACGAACAATAAATATATCTCTCAAGACGTTTATACCTTTGTCGTACGAGTCTGACGAGAGTGTGAGAAGAAATAAAAGATACAATCTGTTTGTTCCTCACCTTGCTCGGGCATTTCATTATCTCCGTGATACTCGGCTCTTCCGAAGGTTGAGAAGGAGCAGCTTGCTGTTGCGCCGGAGGTGGTGAAACAGCAACAGGCGGGGGAGGCGGCATGAGCTGCTCCCTTTCACCGACGATTCGACCACCTCGTTTACTAGTCTTTTCTACTTGCAAAGCTACAGACATTCCCTGTTCCTTTTTACCGAGCCCTTGCCCCTCCTTAAAACCATATTTGGCCATTATCTTTGCTGCCACGGACGACGTAGCATATCCCATGCTGGTCGGTGGAGCCCTTGGCGCAGGAGGCGGTAGGTCCGAGGATTCCTGCAAGGAAGGTGGAGGAGCTATGGCTGCTCCACCGGCTATACCTCTGGATACAGAAGTTCTTTCTTCGTCCCTTTCAGGAGGAATCATTGTACTGTTTCCAGAGGAAGACTGAAGCAAACATTTTGTTTGCGTGTAATATCAGTATCATGTATTTCATTTGTTTCTTCTTAAATCTGCTTTTTAAAGACATAGAACATCTCGATCGCAAAGTATGTTACCTGTGTATCTTCGAAACGCGAACTATCGCGTCTTCGTTTGCGCATCTCAGTCTCTTGGTCATGTTCTCTGTCGCGCAAATCTCTTAATTCTTTAACGACTTTGTCGTATTCGTTAGGCCACATTGGATCATACTCGTTTATCACGTTCCAGTCGAACTCACCGCCGACACCGATACTGCTGACAGTACCAGTGGACAGCGGATTGTTGTGTGGTCCATCGTCCTCTCTGTCCACATTTCGATTCGCTTTTGACTTCAAGTCTATCACAGGCGCTAATACAGCTGTAGCTTTTCTGTACTGTTCACGTTTCGGCTGAAAGAAACATTGAACGTAAATTCGTCTTAAGTGTCGCCGTGCAAGTGTTCATTGGTCATAGAGAGACGTACCTGGGTAGTAGCAGCTTTCTTTAATTGTAACTGAGACTGAAGCAACTTGATGCTCGAGGACCATCCAGCTACTTTTTCAGAAGTCCTGTGTTTATCAAAATCGTCGTACAGAGACATTGTGACACTCACAAGACGCTGTGAACGTGATCACTGAAATGCTGCATTTAACTTCGTATAGTCACATGCAATGTGTTCCTAACGAAGCTGGTGGACGCTTGATAATTTAGCTCGAGACAGATCTAAATATCGTTCGATTTTACCTCTGAAAATAGAAACGCAGCATGCATTAAAACGTTTCACACAGTATGTACGTTTACTGTATTGTTTAATACTGGAAAAATGTTCCATAGATGCATGGCCAAGTATACGAATGATACTTTGATACGTCGTTTTCGCGGTCAATTGGAACTTGTTAATACGTGCAGGATCTTTCAAAAAATAAGATACAGTTTTAACTCAAGCTTAACTGTTTATCACCAACATTAATTACTGTTTCATCATGTTTCATGGTGATACCAGGATTTTATACATGGGATCATTCATGGAGTGTAAGATTCGAGGAATTTCGATCATAGCGCCGTGCGTTAAGGAATGGTGAAACTCGTGATGTAAAGACCTCACTTCGCACTAGTTTCAGTCTGTGCCTAACTTCAAGCGCTTTAAGTTTGCTAAACGAAAATATGATATAAATAATAAATGAACATAAGTAAACTATTTACAGATTTATTATGCGTATATTTTAAAGAATCTGAAGTTTAACGTACAACAGATTTGCATTGCTGGGAAAAATCAAAGAGAATCAAGGAATCGTGATAAGGTGATTTATAAGATAAATGTGAGACAATTATGGATCGTAATATTTCGCAAGTCTTTAACGTTCTTCTCTTTCCTATACAGAGGTGAAATACGTGTTCGACTCGTCGAATTATAATTTCTAATAAACGACGGATGTACGCCAAGCGCCATTTTACATGAATGACCACATAATATTTGGAATTGTACGGGACAAGCTTTATTTATTTTGTCTGTTCCCATCGAAGTCCGCACGTTTTATCCAATAACCGACGATAATCTAAAATTTCTCTTTAATCAAACGCGACTTGACGATTTTTAAATAAAATTCAGAGGTTCTCATATCGCCAGAGGACTGTTGCTTCGAGAGGAACGAACTGGCGCACGCGAAAAGATTGGCCGAGGTGAATTATTAAGGTAGCTCTCGAAGATATCCTCAGCCAATGAAAATCGAGAACGAACGTACACGTATATATATGTGTTATTAAAGCGATATTGCGCTCATCCGTTTCGATATTAATCGATGGTTTAACGAAACGCTTGTATAATATTGTTAAATAATTAACGAGACGTCGTTTGAAAATTCGATGAGCCGTATCTTTCCTGGCGAATTAACGGAGCCGATTCGAAATACGTTGTATACGTAGGTGCGGTAGTGAGTGGAGGTGGCGTTCATTGTTGGGACCACGGAGTTTGGCGGGCAACGAAGCGACGATTGGTCGGTCTTCGGTCTTCCCTCCCGTAGTCAATGGTCGCCGCAGTCGTTCGGCTGAGTATCGGTTCGAGTTTTCCCAGGAAAACGGTACTTTCCACGGTTCCATTGTACTCGACGCGTCGACGAAGTTCAGCGGAAGGCGAATACATCGTGCGTTTCCATCGTGCACCGGAGGTAAGTCCGTAGAACGCTACCGAATAAAGATCTGTGCGTGCCGCAACGCGTAACGAGTCCGCGGTTCTTTCTCTGCGATTCCACACGTGGTCCTCGACTCGGCTGGCTCGATTAATCCCGTATCCACGGTAAACGAGCCGTTCCATATTCGGCTGGGAAGCGCGGCTGACGATCGCCGCCGCGGGCTGGATCGCGGCCTTTTCCATTTTACTCCCGAGCTTGTGCATCGTCCCGGACGAGCTTTTCCTCGTCGAGGCAAAAAAAGCGCAGTACGGCGTCAGTCTTGGATGCCATCTTCGCGCCGTGGCGTACTTGCGTACCACCACTGTATAGTGGGGGGCAAGAGAGCCACGTTGTACGATAGAAGACGATTTCCAAGGGTTTTGTACATGATTATACGAATATTAATCCTTGCCGATAGAATGTCGCCATGTCTGCTAGCATCTCGGAAGTAGAGACGAGCACATCCGTGTACGCGACGCTGCCGATTGGACACGTGTATTTTGCTATGTACATACTCGTACGGCGGAACCGATCCGGATACACGACGCTCTTTCGTATCGTGCCCCTACGAAATATCTGATTATTATCCCGTTTATTCATTCATCTCGTCCAGTCTCACGCAGCACTCGCTGTCGTTTCAAATTACGAGTCTCGATAGATTTCGTGGCCCGATCCCCTTCCGGCCTCCGCAGCTACCGTAGTTCTCCGCCTTACTCTTACGCTCGGTCTTTATTTTAAACAATGTATCCAGAGATGAGTGCACGAGCACGCATGTTTCACGTACATTACCACCACGACTATCGTTTAATAATATTTACAGTTTGGCTTCGACTAACGTGTGATACGGTGTCGCAGTATATGTGTGTTCTGTTGTAGAGATTTCTAAAAAATGAGTTCGAGCGCGTGTTACAAATGTAACCGAATGGGCCACTACGCACGGGAATGTCCACAAGGTGGTGGAGGCGGCGGCAGAGCCGACCGTGGCCGCGACCGAGAAGGTGGTTTCGCTCGTGGCCGTGATAAATGCTACAAGTGCAACCAATTCGGACACTTCGCACGGGAGTGTAAAGAAGATCAAGATCTCTGCTATCGGTGCCAAGGCGTTGGACACATCGCGAAAGACTGCCAACAGGTTACTATAGCATCTATTCCTATGCAATGATTTTCAATCGTCTCGCGAAACAATGAATCGTGGGTAACACGTTTGAATAACTTGGCATGGTTTCGTTAGGGGCCCGAGTTGAGCTGTTACAACTGCAACAAGACTGGCCATATGGCGCGTAGCTGCCCCGAGGGTGGCAACGACTCGGCGCGCTACGGCATGCAGAGCTGCTACAACTGCAACAAGACAGGTCACTTTGCCCGGAATTGCACCGAGGTTGGTGGAAAGGCGTGCTACACTTGTGGCAAGACTGGTCACTTAAGCCGTGAATGCGATCAGGACGACAGAAAGTAGGAGATAACCGGAATCCGTGCCGCTCGCTTAACGATAAGCCGTTTACCGTCGCGCGCGCTACCACCGGGGATTGTAGCTAGGTAGGGATGTGCGAACGTATGTCTCGTTGATGCGTGTAACTGCTAACAAAAATGCGTTTCTCTCATAGCCGTTCGAATTCCCATCTCTCCATGCCCCAATTCTCCCGGGAAGCCCATTTTATTCCTAGTTTCTCCCTGCCCCTCTACATGTCGTTGTTCTCTTCGCAAAGGTTTTTTCTTATCACGTCTTTGTTTATCTTTCTTTTCTCTCTTTTTTTTTTAATTGCTGTTACACTACACCATACATGCGCGCGCGCGCACAAAATGAAACATTTACACATAGAACACATCCAGCATTACATGAATACACACTTATACGATGTAATAATATTATAAACATTCGATTGAATTAGAGTAGAGACATGAATCCTCTGCCCCCCGATCTTCAACCTATCTCGTACGCGCATTGTTTTCTGATGCAAGATGTATGGACTCCTAATAACGTACTTCTGCGAGCAAAAAATTTTACACGGGCGCAGCAGCAGCAGCAGCATTTATTGTACTGTCAGCCCCCTCCCCCCCCAAACCGGCGGGATTTCATTTATCTGTTAATAATTCATATTGAAATGAATATTGTCACTCTAATCGACTATAAGTGGACATAGTTTGTTCGAAACAAGAGAGGGATACGATGGCACTGTTTCTTTCTGACATCCACGCATCTTGTATCCGGTCCTCCCTCTCGAACTCTCTAGCGACTCGAGTTCAAGGAGCCAAGGAAATAGAAGAAAAAAAAAAGCGAATTCAGAAGTAACGGAAAATGGAAGTTGACATGCCGGCCCTGAATACATATAAGCAAGATTTAGTAACGCCAATTCTTAATGTGTAAGGATGTAATGAGGATCGCCGGACCATCCATTCGTTTTATATAAACACCGGTTCAGTTTCCCAGATCGGACGAAAAAAGATGAAGACGGATAATTGTAGGATTGTCGGTGTTTACAGGTTTATATACAGTTATATACTTGCAATATCCCTGGCCGTAACACCGTTTCTCCAACGCGAAATTTAACACAGTTGTACATGACCCGAGTCGTCACACACGACGTATATATGTATATATACATCTAAACACAGAGATCTATACAGCATGTTTTTTCTACGTACAATCGTGATTGTTATACCGACGGTGACCATTGTTCATATTATCAGTGATTGTTAACGGGTTTTTAAATAATGCAGTCGCGCCCCGCCTTGCTATATCCTTACATATGGCGAAACGTCTCGTTACTAGGTACATGTATATGTATATATACGCGTTTATGTGTATACATGTATACATACGTATGTGCAGGAGCTGTATTTTGTACTGTAAAAAGCTAGATATACTCTGGTCGTTGCTGGTGACTAATTCCAATGATTATCTTATTTATACATCACAGGCGAATGGGAAAAAGAAAATTGTATTTTCACCGTATCGCGCACCGTTCTTATGGATCGTAGAATGAAATTTTTAGACACAACTTACCTAGTTCACTCGTCTTGCTCGTTTACCAAGAATGCCCGGAAATCATGAGGCGGTGTGTAGATATGACGCGCCGCAGATTCGAAAGCATCCCCTTTTCAAAGCGCGATACTAGGAGACTCTTATGTTATCGCGAGTACGAAGATACGCAAGGTTTTTCTAAAAAAAAAAGACAGAATTGAAAAAAACTTGAAAAAAATAAGATGAAACGACTTGTCTGACAGGCGAAAAGCAGATCGTGCTAATTGTTGGTAGTATATAAATTGAAACCCTGATACTTTGATTGATATTCGTTCCACCGAACGAACGATACGACACTTAATCGTTAGGAGGAGATCGTATCTCCTCTAGAATAGATTCGATGTGAACGCTCGGTGCAAGCGTCGCGGATTCTCCGAGGAGTTCGTCTCTTGGAAAAATCGGCTCGTACAGACGACGAGTCGGACGCGTGCACCTGTGCGTGTACAGGACCGATACTTTATTACCAGCAGCGACAACGTGTATTAATGTTCAGAAGAAGCCAGGCGTGCCTGACTCGGTGGAACTGAAGGGACTGTGTATCGCGTAGTAGAGGCGTCCTGCAACAATTTTATACACTTAACTGTTCGGGACTTAAACCGATCTCATCCATTGATTTTGGTAGTAGTTTAATCAGAACGCTAGTGCGTCTGACGAGATTTGGAGGATCAAAAGGAAAAACTAAATAAAGTAAAAGTAATCGTATCTCGCTGATGGTGGACCGCAAAACCTTTGGTGCTCTCATTGGATGCGTTAACAAGTCACGACCGAGTAGAAAGCCATGGAAGAAAAATACTTTTGTTATTTTTGTTACCGCGACCGATAAGTTATACAAATTGCATAGATATCGTGTAAGGAATAAGGAAAAAAAGAAAAAGAAGACGAAAAAGCTACCGACGCCTTGCTGTGTGGGGCGTCGGTAGTACGAAAAATCATGTGTACTTTGAAGACGATTTGGGAGTGGGGTTCACTGGTGGCACCGGAGGTTCAGACGAAGCATTAAAAATATTAATAATAATAATAAAAAAGTAAAAAAAAAAAAAATAAGTGCGATAGAGCACCTGCGCTTTTGTCTCTGCTACAAGACTTACGTACGAATATTGTAAAGAATACGACTGTTACAGTGTACGAACTAATTTGATCGGTGTACGACCGGTCGCGGCTCGACTTATATTAATCTAATAATACTTAAAGGAAGATGACGAGGAAGAGGGTGGAAAGGAGGTAAAAATGAAAGATGAAAATAAGCTGCGGAGTATTTGAAGTTATGTTTTTAAAACTGAATTTTTGAAATAGAATGTGTACGGAGAGGCAAAGACCGAGACCTTGTTTTTTCTTTTTTCTCCCCATATAATAATCGCTTGCCAGGTGATTCCGCTCGACTATTTATTTTGAGATCCACGATTCGAAAAACTGTACGGACCCCGTTTCATGTACTAATTATGTTTCGATTGGAAGCGGAGCTCGATTATTATTAATAAAATATAAATGTATAATTTCCTTTTCAGTTCCTCATTCTTTTTACCAGGGCTGCAGACAACAGTCTTTAATCCAATTTGACACCGGTTCACGATTCAATTTCAATATCTAATCAAAGGAGCAATTAAGAGATCTGCATCCCTGCGTCTTACGTACTTACTGTCGCGCTTCATTTATCGAACGTATTAAACATCTACGCACCGCGATTTCGGCTCTTTACGCGAACGCACGAAATATTGACCTTGAAACGTGACTACGTGAAATAAGTATTCACCTTCGGTTCGCGTCGCACGACGAGTACTTGGGTCGGGAAATTTGGGAACCGTGAAATAAATTTCGTTTCACGATTGCATCAGGATCTCGTGTACTTAACGATATGTAAAAATTTAAATATGATACACGCGGAGCTATCGATAGCAAGGTATCGATGAGGAGCGGAGGAGCATCGATAAGTTTCAATAACGACAGTCGATAGCGTTGTCGATGATTCGGAAGGACTGTATATCCGGTCCGTATACGTATAGTGTGTTTCACGAAACCGTGTGTGTTTGCCCCGTGCCGTGCGTGACCTCTCGACTTAATCTCACGTCTGTCAAAACGGTCACGATTATCCGGAAGATGTGAGACAGGCACTGGCAGGAGGGTCGCGTAACGCATGCTGCACACACGCATGATGCCCTGACGTTGAAACACGTAGCACCGGCCGCCGATGCTCCGATCTGATCGCGATAACGAACGAGGAAACATTCAACGGGAAAAAGGTCTTGGACGGTGTACGCAGCAATGGCTACGACCGAGGGTGTCTCGACAGAGGAGCTCAGGACCGAGATCGAAAGGCTGTCGCGGGAGCTGGATCTAGCTTCGACGGAGCGAGTGCAGTCGGCTCAATATGGTCTCGCTCTGCTCGAGGACAAGTCCGCCCTGGAACAGAGGTGCAAAGACCTCGAGGCCCTCTACGAAAACACGAAACACGAGTTGGAGATCACCCAGGAGGTTAGTCAGTTCTCGTCCGCCGAGACGTCGGATCGTTTTATCTTCGTACCCAAGTCCCCCCCCCCCTTTCCCCCCACCGGCGAATGATCCTTTACATTAAACCTGCGTTTCTAGGCTCTAGCAAAGTTCCAAACGACCACGAAATTGACTACGAAGAGTGGTATAGAACAGGAGGAGACTCTGCTCAGCGAGAGCGCTGCGAGGGAGACGTCTCTCCAGACACAGATCACCGATCTGGAAACTGAGACGAAACAGCTGCGTCATGAATTGGAACGGGTGCAAGCGGAGCGCGATCACGCGTTGCAGGAACGGGAGGAGGTCGGGAAGGATCATCAGCAAGCGGAGACGGAGAGGAGATCGTTGCGCACCATGCTCAAAGAGTGCAGATTTCGGGAGGCCCGGCTCATGCAGGATTACTCGGAGCTGGAGGACGAGAACATCTCGTTACAGAAACAAGTGTCCAGCTTGCGATCCAGCCAAGTGGAGTTCGAAGGTGCCAAACATGAAATAAGAAGATTGACCGAGAACGTGGAACTGTTGAACAGTCACGTCGAAGAACTGATGAACTTGAAGAGAATCGCGGAGAAGCAGATGGAGGAAGCGCTCGACTCTCTTCAAGCGGAGCGCGAAGCGAAATACGCTTTGAAGAAAGAGTTGGATCAAAGGATCAACAGCGAGTCGATTTATAATCTTAGCAATCTCGCGTTGTCGATCAGAGGCATTACCGACGATCAAACGATATGCAGCGACGGAGAGGACGATTCTCCCGCGTTGAGGAGAATCGAGGCGGACCTGAAGACGCAAGAAGCAGGAACCTCTGCGACGGACAAACAGGTCGACCTCTTCTCCGAGATTCATTTGAACGAGCTGAAGAAACTTGAAAAGCAGTTGGAATTGGCGGAATCGGAGAAAGTGCACCTTACGCAAAATTTGCGGGAATCGCAGTACGCGGTCGAGAAGAGCCAAAACGAACTGCAGTCTTTCGTCACGCGTATCGTGCAGTTAGCGGCTCATGTGCAGTCGCTGCACCACCTTCATTCCAAGTTGCCGGACAAACAGAACGAGGAAACGACGTTGGACAAGTTGAATCAGGTGAACGGACACGCGTTCTGTGCCAAAATCAGTCGCTCCCCGTATTTTTACGTATCGATTGATTCATTCTATTCTTTGTTACAGGCAATCGTGCAGTATCATCAATGGAGCACTATGTCTGCGCGCGAAGTGAATCAACTTCAAAAGGATTTAGCCGAGCTAGAAAACGGCTTGGCCATTTCCGATTCCACGCAACAATTACGTACAGAGATAACGAATCTTAAGATCAAGGTATCCGACGTGTTACTGATTTTTCTTTCATTTTTTATCCCGTTCCTTTTACTTTTATTACCATTTTACTATCGCCGTCCGTCGAATTTGTTCCTCTTCTTTTTGCGTAATTTTCTTCGTAATGTCTTCTGACCGATTAGGAATCTCGGCTACAGTATTACGCAGAACAGAGAGTACGCGTAATGTGAGAGTCGGCTAAAGTTTAACAGTATGCGATGTGTGTAAAGTGAACAGTAATAAACTGTGGCACACCGAATTCGACGATTCCAAGTTCCGACTCTTGAATAGAAATTATGCCATTTCAGATACCCGAACAGTCAGAGAAGAGCCTTCGAGAAAAGGTCGGAACGTGTGGTACCGTTAACGTATTTACCACTTATCATAATAACGATTTGTCTTGGCTCCTCAAACAGATTGCTTATCAATGTCCTAACAGCTGATCGTTGCTTCTAATAATCTCGTACACTTAACTATACGTCATTTCGATTCGACGTATCTCAGCGTCTACTCGAGTCCCCTTTCTCTTTGTCGAATGCTCGAACGTACGTACGTATGTACGTACGTACGTACGGATTCTGCTACCATTTCGATCGTCGCTTTTTACGATAGAAACTGAACTTCGATACTCTTCCCTTGTTCGTCTCTACTTGCATCTAACGTGGCATGATTCAGAATCACAGAGCCTGTTTGCACGTTCAAACAGACATATTCTACGTAACGTTACCTCGTGGAAGTTATCGTAAAATTCTCTTGAAGCTCGAACTACATAGAATCGCAACGAATATATAACGAATTTTACCTGTAGCCTCGAGAGTATAAGAGATTTAAACACGTCCTCTTCTACATTACAGCTCTTAGATACGGAGCAGCGAAACATGCAGCTGGAATCGGACATCTCGACGCTCTCGAAACTGGCCGTGGACGCCGGTACCTTCCTCGATTCCGCTCAGATCGACCTCCAGAACGTTTCCGACGAGCTAGCTCAATTGTATCATCACGTTTGCACCGTGAACGGGGAGACGCCGACGCGGGTGGTGCTCGATCACGAGAAGATCGTTCCTGAAAAGAAGGACGAGAACGGTGAGAAGATCGAATGGTGCAGCACGGTGGTCAAGACGGACATACAAATCAAGAACTTCGAGAACTTAGGCAAGACGTACGAAGTGGCAAAACATATTGAGACAGCGATGGATCAGATAAAACATTTGCGAAGCGCTGTAGAGCACACGATCGAACTGGCCAAAGTCAAAGGAATACAGTCGAACGTCTGCAACGTTTGCGAGGGTAAGTTCTTGTCATTTCACTGTTTCTATCCGGTTATCGGTAGCGGACGTCGAACTCGATCGGCAATTTGTTTGTTCGTTCGTTTTTTTAATTACAGGTTCGGTGAACGAGAATAAGGCCGAGGTCGCCGACCTGCAGGGGCAGGTGATCAGATTGAAAGCCTTGTTATCGGCGAAGAACGAACAAGTCGTGACTCTGAGGACGGTCCTCAAATCGAACAAGAATACCGCGGAAGTGGCACTGACGAATTTGAAAGGCAAATACGAGAACGAGAAGAGTATCGTTAACGAGACTATGCTGAAGCTGAGGAACGAGCTGAGAATGTTGAAGGAGAACGCGGCGACGTTCTCGAGTAAGTTCATTCCAAGTTACATCATACATATTCCTACGATGCTTTACACTTGAGAGTACGGTTAATTTACTCTGTTTTTTTTCTTCTCTCTATTTCTCGTTTTGCTAACAATCGAAACTAACATTGATTACTAGTATTCATGTACATTTCGTTGCTTCTAACGAGTTGCGCTACCGTCGATTTCGCGGTCGCGTTAGGAGTCTGTCATCAACGACACTGCGTTTAACAGCAAGATTAACTCTCACTTAGTCAAAGATGAATCTGCTAAAAATACTTGTTCGCTTCTCTGTATTACACGGTGTTTAATACTCGCTAACCGTACTTGTCCAGGTCTGCGCGCGATATTCGCCGCGCGCTGCGAAGAATACGTGACGCAGGTTGACGACCTGCAGCGTCAACTGGCCGTCGCCGAGGAGGACCGGAAGACGTTGAACTCGCTTCTGAGACTCGCCGTGCAGCAGAAACTCGTCCTCACCATGAAACTGGAGGAGCTCGAGGTGGACTTGGAGTTGAGAAACACGCGAAGACACGCCGCCAACGCGAACGGACGAGGTAGATTGCGAATGTCGCAACAGACGAACCGTCCTCATTTAAGCAGAGATTTCTTCTAGAAAATAATGAAGATGTGGAGCAGGCTGTTCTGAGAGGAACGAGGATTTTGAACTTTTCAATTTTTCTACTGCTCATCGTCGAATCGTACTCGCGTCGTAGAAAAGTTTATCATTAACTCTTATTAGTGGTGGTAGGATGAACGGGCGTCGTCGTCATACTCTCGTCTTCACAGAGTAATGAAACGTTCTTGTACTACGTAAACGTGGGACTCGTCTGGAAAACTCGGCACCCGGTGTGGATCATGCGAAGCATAGCTCGTGAATTCGAGACGATCAAGCTGTATTTGTCAGACGTTTTAAACTTAGAGGAGATTAATCAAATAACAGTACATTACGAAGAGAATATTAACAATTACTAACAGAATCGTAGCGTGTGCATGATCGATTGTTAACTTTCAACGTTTAACATCGCAACTAACTACTAACGAAAACGTATGATTAATTTTTTTAAATAACGAAGCGTCGTACGTGATTCACACCGGTTCGATGTACGTTACGAGGGACGTAGAGCAGGACGGTTCGCGAAGCTTTGAAACGTTCAAACATTTTCTTGTATCCACGTTGCTCCATGTCGTAGCAATTTATATAGGAAACTCTGTCTTCTGTTACCAATATTGTTAGTAGAAAGACGTCCGAGCAACCAGAGAATGGCATTTGCAAGTATAATTTTACTTAGATACGCAAGAAACCGTTGATTAACATTCTGTGCTCGAAGAATTTATCAGCACGTTCATCGGTATAAGATCGTTTTTGATCGATCATCCACTCTCTCAAGAGAGATGATTTTTTTTTAATCGAGTGTTGATTTCTACGTTCGAGCCAACGTATGTACGCAATTTTCTTTTAGTAGCTGTTGGTAGATAGAGACGTGAGACGTTTTCATACGTTTTTATTTCCCCGTATGATATTCGAGTATTACAGCGCAGCTGTGTAGCAGCAGCTAAATTCGCACGGATACGTTTTTACGTAAGTAACGATCTTCTTTTTTATTAATCGAAATGCATGATGATAAGGTTCGGGTAGGCAAACGAATGGGAAATTCGAGATGAAGTTTTCGTTACATAGAGACAATATTATCGTCGCGACGAATAGCGTTTATAATCAAAGTAGAACGGAAACGATACAGCAAAAGTAGATGTGCGTAGAGTCGAGAAATCAGCGTAGTAGAATAACTGAATTAGAGGCCCAGACTCTCCGTGTAGACTTTTAGCTCGACGCCACCGTTCTGTCGCCCACGCGGGATATTTTACTTCTGTTCCGTTCCGTATATTCCTCGCCCGATGATTTTTCAGAACCGGCATTTGAACGTACGACAGTCGTTTGCGTGTATCGTTTTTTTAAAGTTTCAAAGAAAGATCGTTTATAGTATTTTACAGAGCCAGGCCTAAATGGGCGACCAATCAATTTCGTTCGGCAGCTCATCGTATTTTTATTATACGTGGAATTGTGGTCGTTGATGCCGTTTTAACGCATTCAACTCGTTTACAGATTTATTTAACGTAGTTTTAATTGTTGTTAATTTATGTCCACTCGCCTGTTGACGATTTTGATCGGGATTAAGATTAAAAGCTGTGCTTTCCGATATCGATCGATGCGAGATGATCGCCTCTGTTTCGCTTTATTTACAACTTGGAACTGCTATTGATAAAATAACAGATGAATAACACAAGCTACAATTTTGAAAGATCCTTTGTTTTTACTCTACGTACACAGGCACGTGCATTATACAAATCTGTTGAATTGTACATTTGTTACCGTATCGTAAAATTGCTTACGTTGTAGCTCTCGGTATAGAATATTCCTTTCCCTTGGTTTCGTCCGTTCTGCGAGAGCAGAACGTCGCGGGCGCGACGAACAAAGAGGAGAGACAGAAAGAAAGAAATACGATAGCATTACGATTTATAGATGAACGAGAATGTTTCGTTATACAGAGATCAGTTGGAATAATCAATTTATTATTATCATTAATCGTAATTACGATAGTATATTTAATTATTGCGATATTGCCTGTCAGTTTCGTCGCGGAAACTAGAGTAGGCGAGTACCTAAAAGAAAATTTATTGATTGTTCACTGACTAATCGATCAGTTGATCAGTTGTATTGTCATATTTATACCGTATATAGTTATCGTGTCCGCCTGTGTCTACGCGTCTCTAGTCGAGATTTACTGTTTTATCCGAAAAATCGATACGAAAGGTTTTTCCTTTTTTCTGTTTTATTGCGACGCGGTTCCGCAGTTGGCGATTCGTCAGTTCTAAGATACGTCGGAGAAGGTCGAAGGATCTTATCTGCCGTGAAATTTATTTCGGCCATACGGAACTGTTTCATTGAATGGAAGAGCTCGTGCGATAGACACAGGCGGATTCTGATTTATGTCCATAAACCGAGCCAGCCCGAAGTCACCACCGTCCCTTCCCCTCCTTCCCTCCGCGCGCGCCGCCAGGAACAAAAACGGGCCGAAAGAAAACCTTCTTTCCTTTCTCGATTTATTCTCTTACCACCATTAATCACTATTCTACTTACATATATTCTCCTTCGTCCTTACGGGAAAAGAAATTCGTCCTCGATTTTTCGTCTAGCCGTCCGTATTGTCCAACGGCGACCCGGAGTCGTTCGTAACGCAGATGAATAGTAATCGAATTTACGCCAGATCGATGCTCGCCTCGCTTCCGGCATCCAGTTTCTTCGATTCTGTGGCCTTCTGCGATAGAACAGTTTCTATGACCGTCGAATTGTTCGAGCGGGTACAAGCTTTAATTCCGCGTGTATCTTCGAGATGCCTCGACTTCTTGAACATTGATATGTTGCCACCGGTCGCAGCGCAGCCACAGAATCGAATCGATTGATCGGGCAGGACGACGAAACATTTGCACGACTCCGGTCGCTCGTGCAAAGTCGTTAAACGACTTTTGCCAAATGTATTCTGTCCTTTCGGGGGATCATACTGTCCTTCATACACTACTTTACGTCCTTCGCAAAGTTCCTTCGCGTTACATTCGTACGTGTATTGGCAAAAGCTCTTCGTCAGGCGCCAAATCAGAAGAGTTGAAATTAGAAAGAGGAAGAGCGCGGTGTGCGTCTACACGAATCTCGTTACAGATTTTTAACGTTCTTTCGTCCGCAAAAAGTGTTTCACCTTTTCTCTATCTTCGGCGTCGAGAGCCGTTCAGAGAGCTCGGCTTCGTTCGACAATAACTGTGTTAAACGATCGTACCAGCCAGATCTGGCAAAACCTTCTGTCTATCCTTTATCGAGCTTATACGGTTAAGAGGAAGAGAGAGAGAGAGAGAGAGAGACCTGTCGGCGATCTAACGACGCGTGCGAAAGAGAGAGAGACCGTTATATTTTTACAAAGTTGGAGGTAAATAGATCTAAAGGCGAATTCAGACCTCGTTACTTTGGGCCCCTGCATCTCGAACGATTCGTCCGATCGATTCATCGAGAGAGGTAGACGCTACTTCGTTCGGTGGTCGCTTCGGAATGGAACGCAGATGAAAACGTCTTTACACCTTTCACTGCGGGAGGAATCATTCAAGCTGTACGCTCAAATCGAACGGTCCGAATTCACGGTTTAGCCTGCAGGCGTGGATGAAGTCGAGAAGTGAAAGAGTCCGATGAAAGGATTATTAAAGAACAATAAACGTGAGAGTCTGCCTGGCAGGCAGATTTGCTCAAGGCTTCCAAAAGGCTCCAATTGCGTCCCAATTCCGGCCCGATTTCCTGGCGGCGATGCCTGCGCGTTCGTTCGAACTTAGAACGTAGGAAAACGCAAAACAAACGAAATACGAGTTAAAAGAGACGAATAGAGACGGAGCCGATTAACGAAGACTATAATTGTAAACGGAGTAAGTTAAGCGACGAAACCGCTGAAATTATGGTTGACTCGAGGGTCTTGGAACGAGTACGACGCACGTGTCCTCTTCTTCGACGAGGTATTTCTTGCTAACCTAACAGGGTCCACATTTGTCATAGCCGGGGGTGATCCTTTTTTTACCATTTGCTACCATTTCGCGTGTGACGTCCGTCGCCGTCGTCCGTACATTTTCGGTTTACGTTACGATCGATCGAACCGTCCCGGTGCCCGATAACGATAAAAACGTACGATACGACTTTAATCAAATCGTTAGTCTAGAGAATAAAACTGTAACAATTATATCTTCTAGAAATGTAGACGGTATAAACTTACGTAGGCATGTACTTTTACACGTAGACGATCACGATTTATAGGTAGGGGTAAAAGTTTCATTAATTTTGCTACGTCTTCGTGTAGAACATTTATATAGACTATGTAGACTTTTGTAGATGTTCGTAACTCTTCCGGTGGCATCGCGACGGTTCGTTGCAATTATCAGTAGAGATCGAGGAGAGGGGCCACTTTCTATTCTATCAAAATTTTTTTACCGATTGAACGTTATAAATTATCGTTTACGTCTCGATTGCCCGTCTCTCTGGCTTCGTCGACGGACATTCAGCCAAGTTACGGAGAAACAGGACAGTTTAGAATACTTTACACAGTTTAGAATACACACAATCGTGCTCGAGCATGGACCCGTTGTAAATAGTGTAAATGTAAATGCACATTTTTAGTATAAAAACGTCGTTATTACGCGCGGCGTGAGAGAGGAAATGTTTCGGTACGGTTCGGCTCAAAAGTTGCTCACGCACCGTTTCGCATCGTTCTTTCGACTAAGTGTAAATGTATTATAATTAGGTAGAGTTACGTCGCAACGTTCTACGAAGTGTTCAATTAATTTTATTCGTTGATCGCTGACGAACGTGCTTCGGACTTTTGAGCGGGGCCGTCCGCAAAGAGTCGAAGGGTGAAAATAAACGAGGTCGTAAGCAGCAATTCGGGAAGAGAAATTCGACGTTTGATATCAATGAACAAGGATAGAATTATTAGCGATTTATACGATTTTCGACGGTTCTTGGTAAACGACGTAGCCGCTCGTTCTAGCGTCCTCGAAATTTGTTTCAACGCTTTCAGCTTTATTTATTCTCATCCCTCGAACATTCTGACCGATTTGTATCTCCGATTCGTACATACATATATATTTTCTCTGTAGACGTATAATCCGACTCAACGTTTGAATGTAACGCGTCATAATGTAACCGTAGAACCAATTCCAGATCGAAAATTTGTAGCGAAATCCTCGTATTTTTTTCCTCCCACTACGTTTATTGTATTCTTAACGCGAAGACTGTTGGACATAAAGAATAGTATGATCCACTCTTCGGAACGAATTGAAATTTTTCAGGGGCAGGGAGAATTAATAGATTTTATCAGTTCCTCGGACATCGACCTGGGATTTTCACGCGAATCAGAACGCTCGCAGTGTCGAACGCACTGCTGACTGCTGATTTTCAGTACTTTTTAACGAATGGGGTAAAATTTCTCGAGATTCTGTCCAGTGGCTCATACCATGCTACAGCCGAGTCGTTTAATCGTGTTAATTACGCACCGACAGTATAGATATTTAAGTAGATGTTCACGCGACACTTATTTACCGGGAGAGGAGCAACTAAGCAGCAGTACGTTGTTACTTCGGGGCCACGTACGTGGTATCCGGTGTTAACCAACTACGAGACCGGGACATTACCCGCGTTAGAGATTCATTTTGTAACATAAAGTGAAATATAATCATTTGTAACAGGATCTACGTTCACTCGTCAGACAATTCATTCGAACTAGAAACACATTACCGCATCGCATATGATTCCAATCGAACGAACATCGACGATGTCATATGTGACGTGATCCCGAGCGCGATGCGATAACAGCATTTCCACCCCCTCGAACAACATCCTCGTCCCGTCCGATGAAATTGAACAAGCAGAGCGTAGAAGGAAACATTTTGCTCGGGTCGGAGGGACGAAATTTACCGGGATTTGTAAAAATAAAATAAAATCTCCAAGTCCGGTCGCGAAATACGTATTTCGAGTGCTCGCCTATCGAAATGCGGGGGTGGTGTTAAACCGTGTTTGGCACGGGGTTGTCTCGGGGAAAATCCGAGGGTTAGTAACCGCGCGCGAACGCGTGTTCAGCGCGTACACACGTCCACGCGCAAGTGTTTATCAATACGCGAAACGAGTTAACTGGAAAACTGCCC